ACCGAAGAATCACTGGTCCTGACAGCTTTGAGGAGATCTTCGTCTTTGAGTTTCTGTTTGGATGACATTGGATAACTGATCTCCATGTCCAACAAACATCTGCTCCGCATGGACTTCAAAACGAGCTGCCTGCGTAAGTAATGATCTTTCCCTGATCAGCCAACTGACCATGTTTCACCGTAGAGATCACCACGTCGACTTGCTAGATCACATTAACCGAGCTTTTGTGATCGTACAGATCACCTAGGATGAAATTGACGCCCAGAACCTTGAAGTTCTCGATGACTTTGGACTTTGCTATATTGGAGGAGGGTAGCTTATCGAACCAAAACGTGGGTGGCGTACTGCTGCTGACGGTGCTGCTACAGGAAGAGCGAGAGCAGCTGGTCTTTGGTCGGACCTTTTGACCCTGCCGCGATCAAGCTCAGCACCACGTGGATGGACAGCGGCGAGTACACGCGTCTTGATTATTTACCTTCGTTCGAATCGCTCACCAGCTTGATCAAACGGTTTCGGTGTGGCCGTGACTCAATCTCTGTCGGGCTGATGTTCCGGAAGGCGAACACTGATATGACCTTGAACAGCACCGATGTCCCCTCGTCGTGCGTGAAGACGATGCTCAAGTCGTCCTAGATCCCGTTCTCCAAGATCTCCATGCCGTAGAGTTCAGAGGTATGATAGCAGAGCAGTAGATATGGGCTGCTCAGATTCAAGAAGGTTTGCAGAGCCTCGTCGCCGGTGTTGATATGCAGCTGCAGAGCTATAGCAGTTTCCCTCTTCAGGCAAAAACATAAAGGATAATGCATTCTTTGAGAGGGAGAAAGAAAGCCGGTGCGGCGAAAGAGGTGCGGGACATGATTGTCGAACATGGGTGTGCACACCATGCGTAGCAGGTGGAGTTTGGAGCTTGATGCAGCCGTAGAGGAAGACGGGCCTGCCATGTTTCTTGCTGCTGACCATTGATTCAACAAAACCTGGAATTTTGTGTGTTACACCAAGAGAGCGTCAGAGCTCAGGTGTCTGCTTGCGGTGCGGAGGACGGAGAAGCAGTCCCGCTTGATGGTGTTGTCGAGGGACATGGGCCTGCGAGGTTTTTTGCCTGGACCTGGGCTGGTGCCTCTTGTTGTTGCTGGGCCAGCCCGTGACGTGTGCCGAGCTGCAAGTCGAAGGCACGAATGGCTGAGAAACGCGGATTAGGCTTTGAGGGACGGGCCTGGGCCCAGAGAGAGAAGAAACGGAGCTCCTTGCATAGCGAACCCAAAACAATTGTGTTTGAGAAGGGATGGGCCTGGTATTTGGGCTACTCTTTTCATGGATCTTAATTTTTTATGTTCTTTGATTTTGCACGGGTCTCAAGTATAGAAAGACCTCCTCTAACATTTTATTTTATTTTATTTTATTTTGTAACAAGGCCTTGGAGCCGACTCCTTCTTCTAGAGAAATAAAGCACTTATGTTCTTGAATTTGCTCTTCAATCTTCAAAGTGTTATATATATATATATATATTTTTTAGATGGTGTGACTGTACTTGAAGTTTTGATGCTTCAAGTTGCCTACGTACCCTTTGTTGAGGAGGGATCAAGTCATAACGTAGCCCCCACTTCAAGGCGCGTCGTATACATGTGCTTGTCATGTGTAGGAGATGTGTTTTGAAGTCCCTTATTGTAGATGTCGATCCAAGGGCCGTTGGGGCTTGATCTTGAATTGGGCTGGAAATTTCTTCAAGGGCCGTTTGAGGCTTGTTCTTGAACTTTTGTTTGAAATTTCTTCAAGGGCCGTCGAGGCTTGATCTTGAAGGTTGAAATTGGACCACAAGGAGCTTCATGTGGTAGATGATCTTTGGCTTTGGTAGTGAATGAATTGGCACGTATTTGTTTTTGCGCTTTGTTGACTTTCCACAGCTTTGATCTTGAACTGGGTTGGAGGATTTTCTGGATTCCTCCAATTGTTGATTTTCCACAGCTTATTCTTGAACTAGGTTTTGATTCAAGGGTGGTAGACACTTGATCTTGAATCGGACTTGTGATTTCTTCAAAGGCCGTCGAGGCTTGATCTTGAATTTGGCCGGAAACTTCTTCAAGGGCCGTTGAGGCTTGATTTTTGAAGGTTGACTCGAACACATGGCAAACAAGCACGAGGTGGAGGTGATGACTTGTTGCTTTGTTCAATCTTTCTAATTCACACCTGAGCAGTTTGGTCAACGGTATGATCTTCAAGATTGATGGGCTCTTCTTCCAGTTGGTGACTTGATCTTTAAGGATTTGATTCAAGGGTGGTGAATCGGCATGTGCAGCCCACAACGCCTACTAAGTCGACCCAAGAATTTGAGGGTCAAAACGAGTTCACCATCCAGAGTGATTGCAAACCTGATGATATGAGATACTTTTGATTTTGAAGAAGTAGCGGATGAATCGGCACGTGCTTTGTTGTGCTTGTCTCCACATGCTTCAATGTATCATTTTCCCTTATCTTATCTATTCTTCTGGCAGAATGTAGCATCTTCTCGAGTTCTTCAGCTCAGACTCCTTCTGCTAAGCTGACTGTGCAGGCTGCATTCTTCTCTGCTTGTTTCTTCAGGCAGATGTGGCAGCTTCTTGAGTTCCTCAACTCGGACTCCTTCTGCTGAGATGACTGCGAAGACTGCATTCTTCTCTGCTTGTTTCTTCTGCACGTTGTCTCCACATGCTGCAAGGTATCATTTTCACTTGCCTTATCTGTTCTCTAGGTAAATGTGGCATCCGAGTTTGAGTAGAGGTTCTGGCATATTGTTTTCTTTATCCTTGTCTCTGTAGGTAAGAACAAGGACAAAGGAAAGGATAGGGAGAACGCATGATATGAGATACTCTTGCTTTCTACCCTGATGATATGAGATACTTTTGCTTTGGTGTCATTTGTTTGCAGAGGTACCCCAAGGAATAAGAAACACCGAGCGACTCAAGCGGCTTCGTTGGAAAGGCATTCTCGGAGATGAAGAAAGGTTCTGTATGTCTGCCTTGCTATGAAGGGTGAAGGTGGACAGTTATAGGAATTTCTTTAGTACCTGTAGAGGTACTATTCTTTTACTCGTGTTGGCAACCAATGCGTGATTGATCAGTATGACTTCACGTGCTTTCTTCTTTATCAGAAATCTTCGATAAATTGTCCGTAATTTTCGTCCAGCTGAGTGTGCATGTGATAGGTGTTGACGAGGCTGAAAAAGACTGGCACCTCTTCGATATCTGGGATCGGCACTTCGACAAATTTTCCGTGATTTCCGCAAAGCTGAGTTTGCGCGTGACGGGTGCTGACGAGGCTGAAAAAGACTGGCACCTCTTCGATATCTGGGATTGGCGCTTTAACAAATTGCCCGTGATTTCCGCTAAGCGGAGTTTGCGTGTGACGGGTGCTAACGCGTCTGGAAAAGCAAGATGCTTCTTCGATTTCTGAGCTTGCCTCTTCGATTTTTGAATCGGCATTTTCGGCTTCTGAGCTCACCTCTTCGGTTTCTAAAATCCCATCGAGTGCTGATTTTTTATAGCGGCACGTAGTTCATTTCAAAGCACACTTGAATTTTTGCTTGTAGAAACTCCCTTCTTGCACTTCTAAGATCTTGATTTATCCGACCTCTTCTTTCTTCAACACCTTTGAAAATGTCTGGACCCTCCGACCGTCGTTTTGATTTGAACCTTGGTGAAGAGGTAGTCCCGTCTTCTCCGGATAACATATGGCGCCCATAATTCATATCCCCTACTGGTCCTCTTACTGTTGGGGATTCGGTGATGAAGAATGATATGACCGCTGCGGTGGTGGCCCGGAACCTTGTCACTCCCAAAGATAACAGACTACTTTCCAGGCGGTCTGATGAGTTGGATGTTAAGGAGTCTCTGACTCTTAGTGTGCAGTGTGCGGGTTCTGTGTCCAACATGGCCCAACGCCTATTTGCTCGAACTCTTCAAGTTGAATCGTTGGCGGCTGAAGTGATGAGTCTCCAACAGGAGATTAGAGGGCTCAAGCATGAGAATAAACAGTTGCACAAGCTCGCACACAACTATGCCACAAACATGAAGAGGAAAATTGACCAGATGCAGGAATCCGATGGTCAGATTTTACTTGATCATCGGAGGTTTGTGGGTTTGTTCCAACAACATTTGCCTTCGTCTTCTGGGGCTGCACCGCGTAATGAAGCTCCAAATGATCAACCTTTGGTGCCTCCTCTTCCTGGAGTTCCACCGAGTGGTGTGGCTTCAAACAGTCAACCTCCGGTGCCTCTCATTTCTGGAGCTCTGCCGAGTGGTGAGGCGGCACCTGATCGTCCTTGAAGATCCCCTCTTGTAAATTTGATTTGATTTGATTTTTTTTTTTTTTGTTTTTTTTAAGGTATGTATAATGCAAATTTATGTAAAATTTCCAGAAAAATAACTAAAATGGACTTCTATTTCTCTCAATGCATTTGTTTTTCTTTTATTTTTATTTTTTTGCTATATACATACATATATTATGTATGTGTATATATATATATATATATATATATATGTATATTTTTTTCACGTGGACTGATCCACCATTCCAAAACCCTTCCCCTTTGCATGGTGCTAGCCACCAAGAATCCACCTTCTCTCCTTTTTTTATTTTTTTTTTATTATTTTTATTTTATATATATATATATATATTTATTTATTTATTATTTATTATTATTATTATTATTATTATTATTATTTTTTTGCTTTCACATGGTGCTGATCCACCATTCCCCTTTTCTTTTCTTTTTTCACGTGGTGCCAGCACCACTTTGCTCCACCATCCCCTTTTTTTTTAATATATTTTTTTGTATAAATTTGGGTGGTGGGTAGAGGAATTTGCAGGGAGCGGACGAAGACGGACGGAGAGTTGGAGTTTGAGGAAGCGCTTCTCGGCCGGCTAGTCGTTTGACAGCGGTCTTTGAAGTTGTTGGCAGCTGCGAGGCAAGAGACGGATGAGGTCTTTGGGTGTGGATTGTCAAACTTTGGTTTTGTCAATCTCGTTCAAAGGCCGCAGCCATGGCGGAGCAAGGAGGAGAGGATGGGGAGTTGGAGAGGGCTCTGGAGCACCGGTGCTTCAGCCATGGAGAGCACGGGGTCGAGCTTGCTGCTGCGATCGGGGGAGGTGTTGACGTTGGACTTGAACAGCTTCCTAACCACAAGTGATGAAAAGAAAAGAAGCTGTTCGCTTATAGGAAGCACAATAGGTCCCAAAGTGGTAATGTTGGTCTCGAGCGCCCCACCGGCAATTGCCGTCAAATCTTTCGACAAAGACACACCAGTCTTCCCCTTATCATCCTGCTCCTGATAAACACAACGAAAAGTTTTATCATCCGCACCACGATGGGTCCTCACAACATGAACAAGCTTGTACTTAGCCCGCCTCCTATCAACGGACTTATTGGAAAGCAAAACCGCGGAACCACCAACACGAAACAAGCAATTGGGTATCAACATAGACTTCTTATTCCCAAAATACCAATTCTGAGTAATGTTCTCAGTACTAACAACAACAGCATAAGTATTCCGGTGGATTTGCAACAAGTCCTTGGCAAGATCAACAGCTATAACCCCAGCACTACAACCCATTCCCCCCAAATTGAAACTCCTAAAATTACCCCCTTTTGCAGGTATCTCAAGAGGAAGTAAACCAGTGGGAATCACAAGCTTCCCAGAGTTGTTCTTATATGCCTCCAAGTACTCTCCTTCAAACTCATAGCAACTCCGAATGGCGTAAACTCGACAAGCTGATAGAATCTTGGTGTGCCTTTCGGCATCACTTATGCCAGAATCATTCACTCTGTAAAGGCCCGCGTGCGTATGGACCACCTCGTGCTCTTGGTACGCGACCGTTGACTGAGAAGTAACCAGATCTGGTGGCGAAGTAAGGCTTTCCGGCGACGGTAGAATATCATCTGTATTACCATCTTTGCCAATCTCTACGACCCAATGAGCAGCAAAGTCGGTTATGATCCAATCAGGCAATCGATCCGCAATGAACTGCTTGATGGGTTTTTGCAGGAGGTCGTATGCAATCTTCAAGTTGGCAGTGTTTTCAAATGGGAGGTCCACCGTGGCCTCAGCTCCTTCCGGCAACAAGTCGGGATCCAACGGTGGAAATGGAATGGGGACTAATTGCACAAAAGGTTGTAAATCTGGTAAAGATTTTGGGGAGCTGCTTCCACGCGCTAGGACTCAGAAGTGGCACCTGAGAGAGGCTGCCGTCGTTTGTAGAGAAAGTTGCGGAAGAGATCGACGTCGCCCCAGTCCCTGTCGCTGAAGAAGGTCGACTCGGATCCCAACGCAATCGTCTTCTCGAAAGTGGATCGAACCGCTCCGAGAGGGTTCACCAGACAGCCGTACGCGCTACTCCAACTGTACTGCGAGCTCTGATCAAGCTGGGGATGATGATGGCGGTGGAGACAATGGAGGTGACATCAGGATCGAGGTGGGGGACGAACCAAATGGATACGAGTCCAAAGCTCCCGACGCTTGGGTTCTCGGGCTCTGACCGGGCAGGACCCGGAACTGTTCAGGTGTGTGGGTAAATAAGCAGACCCGGCGGTTGCAGCGCAACCCGTTCTTGCATGGCTGGGTCCGGTACCAGGCCGGGTGGAGCCAGCACTCGAAAACACCGTGAGCGAACTCGCACGAGTCACCCTTCGTGTAGTGGCCCTTGCGGAAGTCAGGGCATGCAGCGCCAGAGTAGTGGTACTTTCTCGGGTCGCGACGCCGGGCCTTCTCGCCCGGGTGGGCGTATGGACAGTCGGTCCAATCGTGCGACCTGCCGTGCGCGCACCTCCGGACCTTGAACTCGAACATCCGGAACTGATCGCAGGAGATCGGGTTCATTGGCACGTCCGGGTCCTCAGCTAGCGAGTCAGACTCATTAGACGGGAGGTAACGATGGAGAGCGGCGAGCGAGTCGAGGAACATTGGGGAGAACGGGGAGTAGTCTCCTCCGTTGGAGGCATTGCCGTTAGAGTTACCGAAGTGAATGGGGATGGAGAGGGAGTAAATTCAGATCTCTGAGGCATTGAAGAGGATGACAGGGCCCTGTAGCTTGAGGGGTGTATGGATCAAGAGAGGACCGGGCCTGGATTTGTTGCTGGTGGACTTGGGTCTTCTTCTTGGAGCTGGATTTGGACATGGGTTTGGGCCTGGTCGCTGCCACTTGGGTTTGGATGACCTCCTTTTGATGGGCTGGCTGGATAGAGGTCATATATACATATATATATATATAGATATATATATATGTATATGTATGTAAAAGGAATCTGTATTTTTTTTTTTTTGTAAATACATAACATATGTATTCCATTTTTTTTTGTAATAAAATTAACTCTATTTAATAAAACATTATTTATTTATTTATTTATTCTTTTTTTTATGTGACTGAACTTGAAATTGAATATTCAAGCTGCCTACGTACCCTTCCAAAGAAAGAGATCAAGTCAAAACGTAGTTCAAATACATAGATATTTTTTTGTATTTTCTTTTGGTGGTGCCATTTGCAGTTTCAACTCGTGCAGGCAAGGAGCGTTTGTGTCGTTTGCAGTTTCAACTCGTGCAGACAAGGAGCATTTGGTGCCGTGTTGCAGTTTCGGCTCGTGCAGACAAGGAGCATTTGGTGCCGTGTTGTAGTTTCAGCTCGTGCAGGCAAGGAGCGTTTTGCCATGCAGTTTTAGGCTCATGCAGGCGAGGAGCCTTGTGTCCTACAATTTAGGCTCGTGCGGACAAAGAGCTTTGGTTCGTGCAGTTTAGGCTCGTGCAAACAAGGAGCATTGGTTCGTGCAGTTTAGGCTCGTGCCAACAAGGAGCATTGGTGAATTTGTCAAGCAATTTTGGAGAGGCGTTCCTCACAATCTTCATAGCAAGGAGCCTTGACCGAGTGATGGAAGAAGTCTTCGGGCAAGAAATCGCGCATTGTGATGGGGATGGACGATCTTCGTGTCGAAGTTTCATCATCTTCAACACGTTCACGTTGCTTTGATGGTTGACAAGAGCTGCTTTGCCCCCTTTCCGATTGGCGGACTTGTGGAGGAGACGTATGCTTCTTGTGCAATTTCTTAGGAGTGACTTGAGTCCATCCTTCAACTTTGCTTGTCTTGGAGGATGCCCCCAGCGGTTGAGGTGAAAACTTTGAGTCGGAAGAGCTAGAAGTGAAGGTGGTATAGTTTGACTTCACCACATCGTCAAGATCTAGCTCGATGATTCCTTTCTGAGCCAGTTCCATGATGAGATCTTTCAGCACGAAACATTTTTCTGTCGGATGACTGATGAAGCGGTGGAATTTACAGTACCTTGGATTGTCAGTGCGATTCATCTCTTCTGGCCGTTTGCACTCAGGCAAACCAATCACCTTATTTTCCAGCAAGTCTTCTAACATGGCAACCACATCAGAGTTGGGGAATGGATAAGTCCTCTCCTCAAGCTCCTTCAAAGTGCGTCTACGCATCTCTTAATCACGAAAAGCTTCGGTTTGAATCGCCTAGCCTCGTGTAAGGATTTTGATGGGAGCTGTGTTGACCGTCATTGCTTCCTTTGAAGGGATTATTTTGTGAAAACATGTTCATTTGAGCAACATCATATAGCATGCAATTAACAATTAAAGGCGGAATCATGCTTGCATGCACTCAAAAACAAAACATTACCCATGAAATTCAAAACCTAGTAGATTGGTGAACCAATTAATCAACTCAAAACAAAGTGAGTTGAAATTAATACCTTTGTAGATTCCTCTTTGCATAAGCAAAGGCTAATCACCCAAAGAGATAGGGCCTTCATTCCTTGCTTCTTAGATCCATGGATTTGGATGGAAGAATAGGTTCTCCAAGTTCCCAAAATTGAGAACCTCTAAGTCTCTTCACCAAGGTTAGATTGTAGAAGAAATGAGTGACCTTGGAGTAGTAGGATTGCTAGATGTACCCTCCAAGGTGTTGGCCTCTTTAGAGAGAAAATGGAGAGACAATTCTCACCAATTTTCCCCCAAAATAAACCCATTTATCACTTAATGAATATTTGGCTATAAAGTCATTTATATAGTCACTTCTTTAAGTGACCTAAATAACCAAAACCCTAATTCATTCACATATGGCTGGCCATTTAGGGATTTTTGGGCTTTTGGGCTTTAATGAATCTTTATTCATTAAATTGTCATACAACTTAAGTTAATGGGCTTGACGTTCGAAGCCCATTGGGCCTTAAGGTCCAAAACTATCCCGAAGTCATTTAACGAACTTATTCGTTTGATTAATTAACATATTAATTAATCCTTGCCATAAATAAATAATTAAACCATTTAATCATTCTTACTCATTTCCGTTTAATCTCCAATCTCTACCTTTTATGGTGTGCGATCCATTAGGTTCCTTTTAGCGAGGTAGTGGGCGATTAAAACCATTTTACATCGATTGTGAATTGAAACTATTTTCAATTCTCCCTTTAGTGATTACACACGTTTAGGGCTTCCACAAACCATGAGTGACACCTAGCAGCATATCATGGTTACCCAAGCTAATCAGAAGAGGTGGAGAACCTATTCAGTTTGAGATTACAAATGCAATACGGTCTTTCTCTAATCTAATACTCTTGACCACATTGTTTGGTTTGATAGTTTATTTTCTCATGTCTACTATCCAATGTGTGTCTTGTGCTTATATGATTAACTTGAATGTGATTCGGAACGCATTCCCTAATCTCATTCATACTCTGGCCAGAGATTCAAATCATATCAGAGAGTATTCTCCCTCAAACGGTTTGAAGGTTAGAGATCCCTTGTTGCGCATTCACTTGTCTCCATAGCTAAGTGGCTTGACCCCAACGATGCCGTGGACACCCTCCTGATGGAGTGACTTTGACATAATCAAAGATCAAGGACTTAACCACAAGACAACTATGATGCCTCAGGTCAAAGGACTACTTTGCATTATCCCAACCATGAGTTCTCATGTGACATGGAATATGAGAACCCTTCGTTGATCGCGTTCAGTGAACTCATTCTCTATTGAGCACCTACCGTACTTGTCTTGATGTCACACACACCAATGACTCGAGACTAATCACTCTCCCTGAGAGAAGACATAGTACGTACTGATCTTAACGGACTGTCAACGCCCAATTGGCAATCCTATGATCAGGAACGTTTAGGATGTGTCTACGAAAGAATGGTCTCATGAATCTAACTTCATTAGATTACATTCTCCCAATCACATATTCCTTGGACTTTATCGTTTAAGCATATAACATTTATATGAGACGGCTCAAACAATAATCTATGCCCTTTATATGTTAAACTAGATTAGTTTAACATGTGAAATGTCCGTAAAGTATCATCACATGATTGGCTTTAGGGCACATTTCCAACAATCTCCCACTTGCACTAGAGCCAATCAGCTTGGTCATCTTGATGATACCTCTTCTGTAATCATTTCATAAATGGCTGAATAGTAGGCCTAGACAGTGGACATCTATATGTGTTATCCATAGAAGCAACCTTGAGAATAACGATGTCACCATTATACATGATTCTCAATCATATGGTTCAGTCTCTCATTTGAGTTCGGATCTTGATGAGACCTTGATTCCCAGGCTTGAGCTATCGCCCCATTAGTGTCAAACACTTTCTGGTTGGAACCGAATAGAGAGTTCATAAATGAACTTTCCCATCCAAACAACATTGTTGTAAACTTCTATATGGCAATATATCTTGCATTCATAATGGAACACACTAAAGTCATTACTTTAATGTTTCCATCCAAATATCTCTTTAGTCATAATAAAGAGATATCTGTTTATCTCTTCATTCATAATGAAGAAACATCCAATGATGGATTAGATTCATAATCTAATACATTTACGCTTCCATTACGTCACTTTGATTCTTCCTCGATCTTTGAGGAATTTATCCTTTAGTATTTCTTAAATACTTAAGGACTCACTTGACAGTTGCCATGGTTCTGATCCTGGGCTTGCACTGATATCGTCTTGTACCGTTCTAGGTACAACTCATATCAATGTTTTTCATACAATATGAAATACATAAATCACCTTTCTGCGTATGCATAAAGGATTCTATTTACGCATTATTTCTATGGGAGTCAAAGGGTACGTTCCCTTTGAGAAGGGCAACTTGCTAGTCTCACTAGAATCGTCCTTCTTATTGAAGTTTATCATCATATGAGAAACTTCCTAGCATCCATTGTCTATTATTAGGGATTGATATAATCCAATTATATCATGAAATATAGCATTATAGATTTCCATCCCATGTATATAGACTATATCTCCCATATACATTCTATCTTCATATAATGTATTAAAGTCATAACTTTAACGAAGAAGTATTCTTTTCATTTCCAAAATTAATATATCATATATATTTAAATTTTAGGAACATGATTAACTCCCACTAATCTTTTGTAAAACTAGTAAACAAAAGATTCATTTACATCTTTATGAGAAATCAAACGATTTGATTCTTTTTCTCATAAAATGCAAATAGCTCCCACTAACTTGCTAAGATCCATGATGGATGGATCTCTACAACTTACATGTCTTGTAATTCATAGTTTTAGACATATATTATCAAGACTATCTTAATAATGGTTTCGAAAACCTATATTATGTCCAAACATTGAATCACCATTTAGTTGTAGCTAGCAATCTTCGAATTAATTGAAACCAAGACTATCTCAAAGATGGTTTCTTCAAAGTCAACCATTCTCTTTGATTGTAGTCATCTTAAGCTACCAATTAGCTATGAAGGTTTCATTATTTCGAGTCAAATGGTACTTTACCATTTCCTTGAGTATATATCGTATATGCACTCAATGTAGTCATAAGGATTTTCATTCTTATCGACTACCTTGGAGCTTGT